TGTTACATTTTTGTCATTGTTTTAAAGAGGGTTGTACAAGGTATTCTTGGTACTTTACACGTATAAGTCTATCGCTCAACGACTCTGTCTGCTTGGTTGGCTAAGCCTGATTGACTTTAGATCGGCAGGACTGATTCAGTCGGCTAGACTTGACTGGCGTTGTCAGTCGGCTAATCTAGTCTAGTTGTCAACCTAAGATAAAAGATGGGGGGACTTCTGAGCATCCTCGGTATGCTTGGAGATGCGGAGGGACTGGGTTTTCCCTCTGGTCGACTTCTTCAAGATGGTTGGCCTGGGTGCCTCTTTATCTCGTTTTTGACCAAACGATTCGAACTCGGATCATTTTCTTAGCTTTTTGTCATTCTCGTGGCTCGGTCGGCTTTGGCCTTACTGGCTTTGGCTCGGACGACTGCAATAGGTCGGATAAGTGGGCTTCACGTTCTTACGTCGATGGGTCACCCCTCATTGTACCCTTCTCCTTTGGACCATTAGATCTCCTCGAGATCAATGCTGGCACCTTTTCGATATACGACATCGATGAGATAGGCGGAAAAAGTATTACACTAGGTCTCATCAAACGAGAGTTCAATAGCTTGAAAAGCTAAGGAATATATTACTAGAGCCAAGGCCATTTGGTAGTGTCGATTCGTAGTTAGATGACAAACCATACATTCTGTGTGTTTCACGCTTCAAAGCATAAAAGCTTGTTTGCAGTTAAAGTTGTGTTTTGTGCATTCATAACACTACTACAAATTCAACAAAGAGAAAAAAACATGAAGCCAATCATAAACAATGGCCATATCAACTGATACAAGCTATAATATATTTAATATATAAAAGAAATCAAACCAAAAAAAATTACAAACTTGTAACCTCATTGCTTGCTAGAAAATAGAAAAAATAAAAATAGAAAAATAAACAATTAGCAAGGATAGCCCTGTGATAATTCTATATGAAAACAATATATGCTTTATAGGGAAAGCCCTATATAACTGGACAAAATAATTAACAACATAAAGGATAACCAATCAAAAGAGACAGTTTCTTTAGTCATATCCTAATAGCTTGGGTATATAACCCATCAAAAGAATATTTTTATGAAAAACATGATAAAATATGAAGACCATCAAATAAATAATGACTTTAGCTTGTAAAATTAGCTACTTAGCTACTTAACAAAGAGCCAAACACCACGAATACAGAAAAGAAAGCTTAGCCTTCTTCATACTATAAAGAGAATTAAGAGTGTGTGCTCCCAGCTGTTCTCATTTGACGACAATGGCAACCATATAATAACTAATTTGTAAAAATAACAGTATAGGTTCCTTCCTATCCGCACACCATTGATATCTAATCCATAAGAAGCCTTAGAGAAGAAAAAGCTTTTGCCATCATCACTAAACCAAAAAAATAATAATAATAACAAAATTTAGTTAATTGCTTCTTCATGACTATTTTTGGACGTGCCACTACGCTTCGCTCTTTGTACGCTTAAATAAATAAATTCTTGTGCATTTTCTTGTACTTAAGAAAAAAATTAATAATCATCCAAATAAAATTTTTGCAATAAATTTGATATCATCAATACACTTGATTAAGAATCACGAAGATTAAGAAAAAAAACGAGATTGTAACAAATTTGGCCAAAATCAAACAATTCACAAATCACAAAATCTTTAGAAAAAAATAAGCAATTAAGAATTCAAAATATAAGAGATCCAAGTAATATGTCGGTAGTAGAAGATGGATTCCTAAGAAGTTCACAATCAATACTTGCCCTGCTAAAAGAGCTTGCATTTAGCTTAGCATTCAAACACAACAGCAATAAATCTTTATCCCATTTAAAGAGCTTGCATTTAGATTGGCACTAAAACTAGAGGGAAAAAATTATTAAACTAGAAAGATTGATGGTGTTAATGTCTTAATATCCTATTTAATTACAAAACATTTCTCCAATAATAGAAAATAAATCGCTAATATGGATATTAAAAAGCTTGGCAACAGAAAGAAGAGGAAGCAAATAAACTCGAACGAGACTCACAAATAATACATCATGTCATGTGCTAAAGTTGTGCATTATATTACTCGCTAAAGTTGTGAAGGTCTTACACATAATATGGCTTATGAAGTAAAACAAAAGTGACACATAATATACTAGTTCTAGATGAAAACCTTCAAGTGAACATGGGTAGAAGGCAGAAAAAAAGTCGCATGTGAATTAATCATGGAATCAAAACCATCAAACAATAAAAAAAAGGTTGATCCAAAAATGGTTAATCATGACCATCCATTAACAGTAAACCAAACCAAACCAAGGGTCGCAGTACACATTCCATCATTATAAAAATAGCAATCATAAGCATAATATCAAAATAACTTAAATTTGAAATAAAGCACCTAACTTAAGAAAGCCAACTAAAATGATCATTGTTCTATTTATTAATTTATGATCTCAGCACATGGTTTTTATTTCCAATGAGTGTAGATCTCTGATTTCCATCAAATTTGCACGACTTGGAAAATTTTTGCTTTGACAAATAAATATTTAATATTTATCAAACAAATCAAGGCAAAAGAAGTGTGCTTCTTGTAAAGTAATTCATGAATCAACCTAATTAGATTAGTCATGTCAATGCACTGAATACATCTAGTATCCACTATTATAATTTAATTTTCAATGAATAATTTCAAGCAAATTAAGTAAAATGACTACTACTTGTACAGGCAAAATATATAATATGCTAAATATAAGTATGCATTCTAACAATACAGAAAAAAAATCTATACCTTATTCCTAGAGTTAGAGATAATAAAGAACATATGAAAGATATAAAACATATATATATATATATAAATATATAT